CAACGCACACACACACACACACACACACACACGCACACACACACAGAGCCAACCATTGAATGCTTTCCCAATAGAAGGCTCTTGTAAAAATTTTCAAGCGGTTATCAAACAATGAAAGATAGTAAAACAAGCTTGTGAAAAAATATCAACAAATACGGACACATACAAGTATATTTAAACTTACAGACCCATAAATACCAACTTGTACACACATACAAACATACACACACATAAAAATACACATACAAACATACACACACATACAAACAATACACATACAAACATACACACCCATACAAACATACATACAAACATACACACACATACAAACAATACACATACAAACATACACACACATACAAACATGCACACACATTCAAAAAATACACATACAAACATACACACACATACAAACATACACACACATACAAACACACATACAAACATGCACACACATACAAACAGTTACATAACAAACAATACCTGTGCCGGCCCGCGTTAACTCTGCCAAATTTCCAAGAAGAGAGATTTAGTAGAGGAAGCAATAATACGTTGTGCGATGCGCGTACGTGCAAATTTAGCGAGTAGAAATTTGCACGTGTTGTATGAACAAGTGCTTGTACAGAATGTGTACGTACGTATGAGTGTATAGGTACATGTGTAGTTATAAAAATTAATTTATTATTACTTAAGTTATAAAATTTATTAATAAAATTCATAACATGGCGATCGACTACTTTAAAACGATGATGAAGATGACGAAGATGATGAAGACGATGAAGATGAAATGATGAAGCAATTGATTTGTTAGCAGGTGTTCAGAAATCAGCGAAGAAAATAAAAAACAAATAAATATTTCTAAGATATAAATTGGCATATAGAACGTAAAATACTGAAAAGAGTGAATGGAGTGGTAGAATTTCGCAAGTAAATTTGCAACTTTCCACAAGTGCAGATATATGTAAGGTATCATCCAATATGCCACGTGTAATGAGTTGTTGAAATGAAACACTAATCAACTAATTAATCAACCAACCCGTTAATGAACGAAACCAAAAAGCAATCAACAAAAAATTGACCAACCATCCAAAAACCAACCAACAATCAAAAACCATCCAACAAAGACCCAACAACCAACCGACCACTCTCAACAAACAACCACCCAACAACTAACTGACCACCCAAAAAACAACCACCCATCAACCAACTAACAACCAACCAACCAACAACCAACCAACCAACAACCAACCAACTAACAACCAACCAACCAACCAACAACCAACCGACCATTAACAGGATCCAATCCATTGTGCATATCTTCCCTCTTCTCGCCGCCAGCAACCTCGCCTCTGAAATCAGCTGGACAGCAAACAAACTCCACTCCATAAAACTTGTTTAGGCCACAGGGCTTCAACATGGATTGCGAGTACGAAACGAGCCCCTTTTGCTTGCAAGACGCACGTGATTGGTGCAACCATTCCTTCGGGGTTGCACAGTAGGAGGAGTCGTGTAGGTGGTCGAAGATGCACGGCTCAGGAACCAAAAGGGCCTCAGTGTTGAAGGTTTCAGCTGTGTGGAGTGCGTGTGTGGTGTGTGGGTGTGAGAGAGTGTGTGTGTATGTGCATGTGTGTGTGAGAGAGAGAGAATGTGTATGTGTGTATGTATGTATGTGTGCGTGTGTGTTGTGTGTGTGCGTGTGTGTAAGAGAAAGAGAGAGAATGTGTATGTATGTATGTATGTATGTGTGCGTGTGTTGTGTATGTTGTGTTGTGTGTGTGTGCGTGATGGAGAGAGAGAAAGAGTGAGTGTGAAAAGTGCTTGTGAAGATAGGAATAAGTGATCTTTAATCCAGCAATATTAATAGCAAATGTTATTGTGTTAAAGCAATTTATCGAAACATTAATAAACACGGCAAGCAGATGTTACCGTGGTAATCTATATGTCTGTACGTGTGTTATACAGATGTGTGTACGTGTGCGTGTGTATGTGTGTACGTGTAAGTATATGTGCGTGTGTGTTTGTATGTGCGTGCACTGTGTTCAGGTATGCATGCAGTATATAGTGGTAAGTTATTTATTGAAAAAATAATTTCCAAATATGGCCACCGCCATCGGTGACGTCATTATTGCGCAACAACAACAAAATTACAACAACACACCACCACCAACAACAACCACTACAACTACTACAACCATAACAACACACCAACAACAACAGCAACAACAACACACCAACAACAACAGCAAACCATAACAACAACAACACACCAACAACAACAGCAACAACAACAAAACACCAACAACAACAACTAAAAAAACCATAACAACAACAACAACCACCACCAACACCATAGCCGCTAATCATCCACCCATCATTAACTCATTAATTAAACTTACTCAAGCATCTGAACGGGAGCACCGCTACTACCTCATTTTTCTTGTTGTTGTTGTTGCAGGATTGATCCCCCTTCTTACACCAATCCGGAATGATCCTACTATCCGTGAGAAGTTCGATGTTGATGATGTCGTGCTTGAAATAAACCTGTTTCAGTTGTTAGTTTGTGTGCGTGTGCGTGCGTGTACGTGTGCTTGCGTGTGTGTTGTATGTCTGTGCATGCGTGTGCTTGCGTGTGTGTTTCTGTGTGTGCGCGTGCATATGTATACAAGTTTGTGTGACTCCGACTAAAGTAGCAGAAGAAGTTAGTAATTGATTGACTGAATGATTGAGAGGATGTGCGGCGAATAAAATGAAAGACGGAAGGGACAAACTAAACGAAAGAATGTTTGAGTGGATGGATGAATGAATGAATGAGAAAATAAAGGAATGCAAAAACATTGATAAACAACAAACCAACGATAAAACGAATGAACGACAAAGAGAATGAATGAATGAATGACAAAGAGAATGAATTAATGAACGAATGAATGGAAAATGAATGAATGAATGAAGGAACGAATGAATGAACTGAGAGCACTTAGCAAATGATCGAACGATGAGCAAGTTAATTAGTTTAAAATCTTAAAAAAATTAATTAATTAAGTAAAGCTGGCTGGTCGGTTGTTGCTAGCAATTTGTGCAAATGTTGTGTAATTCACAAACAGAGTGAATGAATGAATGAATGAATTAATTAATTAATTAATTAATTAATTAATTAATGAATAAATGAATGAATCTCTCGATGAATGAATAAACGATAGTCTAAACGGTAATGCAGGCAAAAAATGAACGAAACAATGAATGAATGATTAAATGAATAAATGAATGAATGAGTGAGTGAATGAATGAAGAGTAGTATTTGAAAGGATGCAAAACAACTTCCAGACTATTCTATCTGAAGTGCGCAATTATAACACAAACATTTGCATGGAACAGACAATTTTTCTTCGTACAATCAGAACTATTTATAGATATGTAATGGTAGTAGTAGTCGTAGCAGTAGTAGTAGTAGTAGTAGTAGTAGTAGTAGTAGTAGTAGTAGTAGTAGTAGTAGTAGTAGCAGTAGTAACAATCGCAGCTATAATAACTATGCTTCTGCTACTTTAACGTTACTAATTACTAATATGACTATTACATTTTTACGACTTATAGATAGTACTATTAATAAACTAGCAGTAACAGTAGTAGTAGTAGTAGTGGTAGTAGTAGTAGCAGTAGTAGTAGCAACAGTTGCAACATTAGTGACTAGTTGTAGTAGCAGCAGTAGTAGTAGTAGCGTTGGTGGTAGTATATGCGCATTAATAAAAACGCTGATAGTGATTGAGATGTTACCATGGTTGGACATCAGCTCCACTACACTAATGCATTTTCTATGTCCTCCACTGGATTTTTTTTCCATTTTTTTCGTTTTTCCATTTTTTCATTTTGTTTTTTTTCTCTATTTTTTTTAGAGTTTTTCATCGGCTTTTTACTTATTTGGTTTGTTTTTTCTAAAAAATGTTTTTTATCTCGTTTCGTCATCGTTATCTTCGTTTTTTTTCCTAACAACTTTTTCGCCAATTTTGTTTTTTTTGTTTTTTCTTGCCTTTCCGTTTTTCACGCCTCCGGCCGAGAAAATGTTTAAAAAAATAACGTGAAACGCACGTACATGACCCATTAACCTGATAACCAAATAATAATAACAACAGCGTTATTAGTTATAGTACGGTAGTCTTGTGAAATAGTGGTAGCAGCAGCAGTAGTAACAGCAAGTCCAGTAGTGATTGATTATTATGTGTGTATGTGGGTAATATGACAGAAGGTTTTAATATTATGCTATTATATTTTATAGCTCTTAAACTAAGTTTTTTAATACCTGGCGAGTATTTTATGTCTTTGTTGTAAAGGTGGTTAATGCAAAGATAAAATAAAAAAGAACAACGAATAACAAACTGATTTGGAAGAATTTATAATTCCTAATTTCTAATTCTAATTCCAATTCCTAATTTGGAAAAAAGGCAACATCTACAACAGCCTCTACAACAACATTATTAGTCACAACATTGCTGTTGAAAACCACAAAATGATGACGATGAAGATGATGACGACGATGATGATGACGATGACGACGACGATGATATAAGTTAAGTAGGCCTATAACCTCAATTTAACATCAATGAAATCGTGTTGATGTTGATGGCGATGATGATAATGATGATGATGACAATGATGTTACTGATGACGATGCTGATGACGTAATGCATAACAATGTAGACGTTGTTAATGATGACGACGAAGAAAATACTGACACTGATGACGATTATAATCAAACAAGGATGACGTCATGAGACCCGAAGATGTCATAAATAACGATGATGACGTCATTAATGACAACGATGACGTCATTAATAACGTTAATAAGGATTGCCATGGCAGCTATAATAAAGATATTGACGACCTACAGCTAATGACAACTCGGCTATCAATGTCAACTTTCATAATAAAGTTGAGATGATGTCTGAGAGTTAAACAATAACGAGATATAATAACGACACGAAACGATATGATTCGACTCGGTATTATAACAAACCGATATTATCCAATACGAGCCGATCTAATTCGAAACGAACCGATATAAATCAATACGGCATGACATGACATCCTTATAAATAATCCAAAGTCAGGGGTTAAGATTCTTTGGAAAGTAAGCAACGGATAATGACGTCAGAGATGATAATAATTATTTGTTGTCATGACGACGAAGATTATTATTATCATCATAATTATTATTATTATTATCATCATCCATAATACTCTTATAATAAATTATGGAAGGTAACAACGGCACACACACACACGTGTGCGTGAATCCACGCAACTAACATACGTGATGACGTCAGATGACGTCAATGAAAAAATGGGTGATGTTTAATAAATAGTGTAAGTAGGTGTGTTTCAGTGGCAGACTAGCTAGGATGACATGGTATAGGGAAAGTCAATTTTATGAAATTTTCAAGACGACGATGACGACGATGATGAAGATGAAGATGATGATGATGAGAAGGAGGATGAAGATGATGAGGAGGAGGAAAAGAAAGATGGTGATAGAAATGAAGAGAGGAAAAAACAACGAGCACGTGACGAAAAATGATGGATGATAATAACGATAATATTGTGGGTTATTGCGAGGGCCGTGAATACGATGACGTAATACTTGACAAACAAAACAGCAACAACAACGACGATGACGTCAGCGATGACGACGATGGTACCGATGATGATGATGATGATGATGATGATGATGGTGATGATACCGATGATGATGATGATGCTACCGATGATGATGATGATGCTACCGATGATGATGATGATGGTGATGATACCGATGATGATGATGATGATGATGATGGTGATGATACCGATGATGATGATGATGCTACCGATGATGATGATGATGGTGATGATACCGATGATGATGACGATGATATTTGATTAAATGATGATGCTGACGATAAATTATGTAGAATAAAGTACTACAACTACTACTATTGTGCTACTGCTGCCATGACAAAGACGAAGAAAATGATAATAACAGTGATGATGACGATGATGACGATGATGACGACGACAGAGATGGTAATAAGATGACGACGGCGATTATGATGACAAACATCATGCCATTTTGAAAATAAGCTATTATGCAACGTGATGTGGTCCTTAAGCATGTATACCCTACTTAATCTACACGGAGAGAGAGAAAGAGAGAGAAAGAAAGAAAGAGAGAGAGAGAGAGAGAGAGAGAGAAAGAGAGAGAGAGAGAGAGAGAGAAAAGAAAAAAATAAAGGGAGAGAGAGGAATGAAACACGATACTTAATAATAGTTGAATGAATTTTATTAAATTTTATTTATTTATTTATATCAATATCATATTTATTATTATTCAATTATAATATATTAAAGTTAAACAAACAACACACAACAACACACACACTTACAGCAGGACAACACGGGACAACAACATAACCAACCCAACAGGCAAACTAAAACTGACGGCAATAATGGATGATGTCAACAACTTGATTGATGGATGGATTGAGTGAAATGAGTGAGTGAGTGAGTGAGTGAAAGAGTGAAAAAGAGAGAGTGAATGATGATTGATTGATTACATGAATGAACAAACAAACAAATGAATAATTGATTGAAAGAATAAAAAATTAAATGAACAAACGAACGAATGAACAAAACTTAACTAACAAATAAAGGAATGAAGGACTAACAGAACGTATAACTTTTTTGACAAATGAATGAAAAAATTAGTGTGAAAATATCTTAATAAATCCCTTCATTTATGAAAATTCATCATGGAATACATCAATAACAGTGTCATGAAAAAATGATAAAACGCATTAACGAACGAACGAACGAACAAACAAACAAACAAACAAACGAACGAACGAACGAACAAACAAACGAACGATATACATACTTAGGCACACACACACATACACATACATACATGCATGCATAGGCACACACACATACAAAACAAACACCTACAAACATAGCCACACACAAACACACACAAACACACACACATATATAAACATACATACATACACACACATACAAATAGACATACATACATACACACATATAAAAATACATACATACATACATACACACAAATACAAACATACATACACACGTACATACACACATACATACAAAGGCGCATACATCTCGAGTATGCAGTTTGGCATACAGCTTTCTGGTAATAATTCGAAAGAACCAACACTGAATGTATAATAAATAGGTATGTAAATCCCAGGATAGCATCTAAACCATCAACAACAACCCAAACAACAACTTCACCAACCACAACTACTTCTATTATTACTATTACTACTACTACTACTACTACCAATGCTGCTGCTGCTATTACTACTGCTGCTATTACTACTACTACTACTAGTACTACTACTACTACTACTACTACTACCACTACTACTATTACTACTACTACTACTGTTGCTGGTGCTACTACTACCGCTGCCACAAGAAAAAAAGGAAGAAAGAAAACTAAAAAAAAGGAAGTGAGAGAAAGAGAACAAAATATAAATATAATCAATTTAATAAAATGAATAAATAAGCACACACGTAAAAAAATCATTCTCGGTTCGAATGTCTGATTGGGTGCGTGCAAATGTTTGTTTAGATAAAGTACATTTCTAATTCATACTTCCACACTATACAAATTCATGAAATCTCTTTTAGAAAAAATTATTGTAAACATTGTGTGTGGTTAGAAAAAGAGAGAGACAGAGAGAAAAAGAGAGAGAGAGAGAAAGAGAAGAGAGAGAAAGAGAGAGAAATTTAAATTTGAAATTAGTATGACAGCAAAAGATGGAGAGATTAAGTTAGAAAGACTAAGAAGTAGAGAAAGAAAAGGAAAATGTGTATAAAAGAGATCGAGAGAGAAAGAGAGGGAAAGAAAGAAAAGAGAAAGGGAGAGAAAAAGAGAGAGAGAGGGAGAGAAAGAAAGAGTGGAAAGGTGTAACTAACCGTTGTTATTTCGTCTGGAGAGCATCCCCAATAAAACTTGTCTTGCATGAAAATTGAAAGCTATAAATTGACACAAGTATGCTGGTTTTATACCACGCAAAGAGAAAAGAAAGAAAAGAAAGGAAAAACAAAAAAAAGAGAGAGAAGAACAAGAGAGAGAAAGAGAGAGAGAAATAGAAAGAAAGAGAGAAATAGAAAGAAAGAGAGAGAAAGAGAGAAGAGAGAGAACAAAAAATAATTAAAAATGTAGAAAGCAAGGATGAGAGAGAAAATTGAAAAATATGGAAATTTTTAAACCCATGATTAAACGAAGGAATGAAGATCGGTTGAATAAATGTATGCATGAACGAATAAATGAATAGATGGATGGATGAATGAATGGAGAGACGAATGGATAGATATATGGATAGAATGAAAAACAAATAGATGAACAAAGTAAAAACGAATGAATTAATAAACAAACAAACGTGTAAATCCGAGGCATATAAAGAAAGAAAAATTAAAAAGTTAAACCCCATACAAAGTAAAGCCCGGATCTGAACAAGGAAACGATAGAGCAAAATTACATGTTAATAAACGAATTAATAATAATAATGAACGTATGATGACGAAATGATTACGTCATTATCAATGTATAAACTACATAATGAAATGACCCATTTACAGAGGGCATTGAAGAAGAGTTATGACGTCATGATTGTAAAATCATTCACCAGTTCACTTATCAACGATTCCTCGTTATGTGACGATCAATTAGTTACAAACATTAATGATGTGGATGAGAAGCATAGATTCATATAAACACACACCACACACGCACGCGCACATACACACGCACACACACACAGACACATAAAT